ATAGTAGCTTTCCTAGTAACAGTCAAAAACTGAAACCAACCCAAACTGTTGAATATGTAAGCTTAACTGTATTACCAAACAATGGAATACTATTCAGTGACAGATTTCTGACACAATCAAGCACCAGATAATTCTCAAAAGCATTAAAGTAGAAGAGGCTAGACACAATAGCAATACACTGCAATTCCATTTATATAAAGTCCTAGAAACCGAATTCAGAAAGTTCAGTGCTTTCAAGCGCCAGGATGGGAGAACATAATTGACTTCAAAGGGCACATAGGAAATATTTTGGGGTGATGGAACTATTTATCATGATTATAGTGTATTCATGATTGCATACATTTGTCAAAATTGAGGCAGAACCCTTAAAATTGGTACATGTTATGTATATGTAAATCATACCTAAATTTAAAAAGTGGATGTTACTAACCATACCACTAATATATCACGAACGCCCAGTTTACCAAGCATTTCACATTTATCAATTTATCCCTTAAAAATCCCTACAAACAGATACCAAGGCTCAAAAGTAAGTCACTTATTCAAACTCACAGCAATTATGTTGCAGAGCAGGAATTCTAACCTACCTCTGCTACATTTAACCTCAACTCATAAAATCAACAGCAGATAGTAAAGGAGACCCCTCAGAACTTCCTCTAGTTGCAGGACAATGTCAGCTTATCTATATAGTTGTGAACCACTGCAAGTCAAAAATAAGCCTAGTGGGCCTCCCTGGTGGCACAGCAGGTTGAGCGCAGTGCTGTGAAGCTGTTCACAGCTTCTACAGCGTGTGTTTGATTCCCGGCTGGCCAGGTAGAGACCCACATGGCGCGGCAGACCTCTCCTGTCGTGCCCGCTGCTCCCCTCAGCAGTGCTCTGTCTGCCTGCCTGCCTGTTCTGCTCCCTGCTCTGTCTCTGGTGAATCCTCTCACCCTCCCGTGCCTCTGGCCTGTAATGCAGCTACTGTGTAAATAAAATAAATCTTTTTTAAAAATAAAAAAATAAGCCTAGTGACTGGATCACTTTTTTAATGAAATGAGTCAAGAGGAGTGGAAAACAACAGAAAGTAGAAAATCAGAGTTCACTTTATTATACACATTAAATATTTGCTCTTTAAGCTTTCATTTCAACACAGAGAATATGTGTATATGGGTGCTGAAAATCACGTGTATTTCTGAGTTCTATTTAGAAAAGTTTGAAAGCCAATGCTGCAGGTCCGACAAGGGACTACAATGGCCATGCTGGCCATGGTGGGATGAAAGAAGAGGAGAATATCAGTAGGAGTGCAGCACTTGACACAGAAAGTTGTGAGAACAAGGGAGAGAAGAGAAGGTCAAAACAACTCCCAGACTGCAAAAACTCGGTGGACTCTGATAGATCATTCAGCTTTGTTACACCCCCAATGTTTCCTCAACTTGTCCTTTCAAACTGATCTCCCAGACTCTCCCTCCTCCAATTTGACACTGCAAGGAAACTTTCTTCTCAACCCCAGGTGTATAAACAATGGAAGGTAGAAAACCAAATGCTTTCTTCTACCTTTGTTCTCTTAGCACCTTGGACTGTTCTTTATTCACAGTGACTGCTCAGGTATTTGTAGAATGAACACTATTTAAAGTATATTAACTCTGCTTAGGAGCCACAACATCATAATAATAACCTCATTCCTTTAACAGTGCCCTATCAAATTAAATTCTAAGAGTAACTGAAGAACTTGAAATGTGTGCTTTTGCAGTTCTTTAACAAAATTAAAGAAATGGTTTTGTAACAATGTTTCCCAGGATGTTTCTATCTTTAAAATACTGTTAATTCAAACAAATAACTACAGCAGATGTCATTCTTATTTATGCGCCTTCTTTCAAGTTCTGCCCCCCCCAAAAAAAAAAAAAAGGCTATTCACATTAAGAAATTCTGTGTCAAAAGCACACTTGCAACATATATATTGTGGGGGTGGCAACCTTTGAGTAGAAAACATACTGGCAGCACAAAACAAAGCACCAGGGGCAAAGCATCCCTGCTCTCTCACTCACCAGAAATAGTTTAAAGAGCCCTCAAAATACCCAGTTAGCCTTTCCCTCCTCAGAGCTCTGCATTGATCTATAATACACATAACCTATAAGGCTCAGCAGCAAATGCGTCTCAGCATCCCTTCAACATACTTCAGCTTACATGAAACTTACAAAACCCTATCAGGAATGTAGGGAAGGTGTAATCAGACCTGCTTTACAAGTAGGTGATCAAGTATTGATGTGCCAAGGTCACAAAGCTAAGAAGTGGTAAAGTTTTGTCTCTTAGTAAGTCTGATTCTAAATCCAATGCTCTTTCCACACTGCACTAATCAACATCAAGCAAAAAAATTTACTTTTCCATGTGTGCTGTTCAAGACAGCCATGCTTATTCTCTAAGCGCCACAACAACGGAGCCAACTGCCTAAACCTTCGGCCTGCTTGATCCTTCTCCAGACTCCCCTGGCCTATTCAAGAGTCAAGCAAAGCTTAAGATCAGAGGAGCAGAGCAGGAGCTGGGGAGAGAGCAGGTCAGCCAGCGAGTCCATGTGAAGAGGGTCAATGAGGAATACTGGCGAGGTGGCTATGTGTACATCTAAGATGAAGGCAGGGGCAAGGCAACAGTCAGCAATCCAGGCAGGTGGTCAGAAAGACTGGCAGCCGGTCACTGTCAAAGCTTCTCTACCCTGGGCAAGGGCAAGACTCCAACTCTGGGAAGCCTGACCAAGGCCAAACCAGGTCCAGATCCAAAGAAACCACAATGCCAGGCAGGTTATAATTACAGTGAGTCGGGCTTTCATTCATTTAAGATAAAGTTTATGAAAACGCTTACTGTGTGCCAGACAATATGCCAGGTATACTCTGAATTCATAATGCATTGTATTTGCCTTCTAAAATTTTAAACTGGTGAAAAAGATGCACAATAAATGATGTACTGCTGTGATAAAAGTATGTAAAAGGCACTACAGTTACAACCCTAAAGTTCTACAGTATCAGCTCAGTTGCAACGCTGAGCAAAGAGGCAAGGAATGGGGTTAGAATGGAGGAAAAAATTAAAATGTCAATGAAGAAGTTATTCATAATTAATAAGATCAGAAGAAGATGGCTTTTAGAGTGGCCTGTTGAAGCCACTCCCTAACGCGAGACACTGTCTAGAACTTAAGCAAGAGAGTATGGATTGACAATGCACAACAACAGTCTTACAAAATGAAGGCAAAGGCAGTATCTGAATGAAAAGGTAAAAATATAGTTCCCATAAAATATGAACAAACCTCAAAAATATTCAAAAGAATATAGTCACGAGAAGGGAGTTTACTGGTATGTGCCACAATATGATGAACCTTGAAACCATTCTAAGTGAAAGAATTTAAAAAACCACACATGACTCCATTTATACGGATGTCCAGAAAATATTCTCAGTCAGAAATACTGGGGGTTGCACAAGAATAGGAATTGGGGGTAAATGGGAAGTGACTGCTTATGGGTATGAGGCTTTTTTTTTTTTTTTTTGGCTGATCATGTGTTCTAAAATTGATTGTGACATATGTTAACTCTGAATATACAAAAAAGCCACTGAACCTTACACTTAAATGGGTAAACTGTACACTGAATTGTATCAAAATGTTATATAGTCTCAAAACTTCAAAAACAGCAGTTGTTTTTATTTTGGGTCTAAAAAGCCATTTGAAGACTGGGTAAGTCAGCACAGAACTGTATGGAGTTCAGAGCAATGTGGGAACACTTTAAGCAGAACTTCACTGAGCAAGATACCTACTGAACCTATCTGAGGCCTCAATGCAATCAGCATTTGTAAAAACAAGACAACATCGACCTTGCAGAGTGAGAAATTATATACATTTATCTACATAAGTGCTCCATGGTGCTACCATTTTTCTAAATACCAGGACATGAAAAGTGTTATCCAGAAAAGTTTATATAAACATTTCCTTTGGTACCATCCATTTAGTAAAATATTCTAAAACAATTTTTTAAATCTTTCATGTCAAGATCTATATCTGATTCATCTTTTCATGTCCCTTTTGCCAACAGGTCCAAGATGAGTATCAGGGATATGAAACATTTTGAGTGCTTACTATCTTCTAGGCACTCTTTCATATTTAACCTAAGGTGAAACTTAATTCAGAACTTAGTCAATCGAGTGCCCTGTTTTTCCTCTATATCAGACTTAGATATTTTTGGTGTTATTGTTTATTTGGATCTTGCTGTTGCTATTCCTTTATTGTTAACCAACAATTACACTCAAAAATATTATTTCTCAGAAAATTTAAGAATCTGTAATGCTGGACCTCCCTGGTTATGCAAAGGGTTCTATCTCAGCACTATCATAGCCACTGTGCAGCAGACTTTCCTGTCTCTCCCACTACTCCCCTCAGCAGTTTTCAGTCAATCCGGCTGTTCTGCTCCCCACTCTGTCTTTGGTGAATCCTCTCACCCCCTGCACCTCTGGCCTACACCCCAGTTCTTGTATGCATAAATAAATAAATCTTTAAAAAAAAATTTGTAATGCTGCTATATTGTGTTTAGTATAAGACTACTATTTTCAACATGTAGAATATATAACTAAGCATATTTGAATCTCTCATTTTCAAGCAAAAATTTTAAAAACACATTTCAGTCTGGTTTACTTTAATTAGCAACTACATTATTTCTGAAAAACTGACATGTCTTTAGCAATTTCTTCTACCTCTTCTTTAAGTGTGCAATGCATTCCCAAAGAATGAGAGCTGATTTGAATGAGTCAGTTTTACTAACAATTTGTAATTTAGCAAAATGTTTAACACGTCAAAAAAAATTGACTTTTTTTACTACTTAAGAGCGATATAATGCATTGTACCAATTCTCCTTCTAATTTTAGCTCTATAAAACAGTACATTTACCAAACATGCAATTTTTAGCAATTTCAAAGGTGTTAGCAAAGCGCACCCTCAACATTACATGGTTAAGATTAACAAAGGAAACATTGAGGATTAACCTTACCATATCATCAGTCAGTGTCCTTATATGTAAATGCTGCAAATGAAAGAAACCAATCATATCAGTAATTTATAGCAGCTTTTTTTATTTTAGTTAATAAAGTACATTTAAAATTCTACAATGCTAAGTTGAATGTAATTAAATTCCTGACAGTCTAATAAAAATGCATTATATATTGTTTTAATTACTTTCTCAAAAAAAATGGACAAAAGTTACCCTTAATGTGGTAGTTTCCTTAAAAATTTCTTGGATTTGTAAAACTTACAAACCTGAAACTTCATTGAGATACAATAAATATACTCTTCCAAACACCAGCAATATTAATTACCATTAAGTATGCAGATTTAGACACAATGGAGATAGGGGTTTAAATAAGATTTTCTGACAATTTTTCATATTATAAAACTTTAAATATACCATTAGCATGCAGCATAACAGATAATGAAGTACTTTGCTGGCTTAATTAACTTAAACAATTCTAGTAACGAAGAAGAGAGTACTGGAATGACTATTTGCATCTTTAACATCAGTTTGATTTATCACCAGTGGTGACAGTAGACACTTTAATTTCATTGCTAGCTTCTTTGAGAACCCTTTTGCTGATTTCCTTGCTAGACAAACATAAGGCCACTTTAGAAAGTGAATAAATTAATTTCTTGCAAAGTGGAGTTCAAAAGAAAAGTATTAAGTGTTTAGAGGGGGAAAAAAATCAAAGTTGTTTAGAAGTTCCAGAGTTGGACGAGATTTTTTTAATCAATTTTCAGTTCACCATCTTCATTCATTGTAACATTTGATCTTTAAAAGGACAGATTAAAGGGCCTCCCCGGTGGTACAAGGGGTTAAGACGCAAGCTATGAAGCTAACCGCAGCCACTGCAGCACAAGTTCAATCCCCCGGCAGGGAGCAACACACATGGCACAGCAAACCTCTCCTGACTCGCCTGCTGCTCCCCTCAGCAGTGCGTTTCAGTCAATCTGCCTATTCTGTTCCCCACTCTGTCTCTGGTGAATCTTCTCACCCCCCACACCTCTAGCCGGTACCCCAGTTCTTGTACGCATAAATAATCTTAAAAAAAAAACCAACAGATTAAGGATCAAATATTTCCTAAACAGGAAATCAGGTCTGTTTTATAGGTATAAATGGGCAGGCATAAACCATCATCATCTAAAGTAAGTGGCACATGGTTTAATTCAACATTTATTAAACTAAGTGAAATTTATACTCATGCTTACACACTGAAGTACACCTTTATGCTTATGAATTTGCCTCACTGACAATATGGATTAAGAATTTAAATCACTGGGCCTCCCCTGGTGGCGCAGCGGTTGAGCGCTGGGCTGCGAGGCTGCCTGCAGCCTCTGCAGCACTGGTTTGTTCCCCGGCCACCAGCAAGGGTCCCACAAAAAAAAAAAAAAAAAAAAAAAAAAGAATTTAAATCACTATCCCAGGTTCTCTTCTCTTTTAATATTCCTTCTAATGAAAACAATAAATGAAGAAATGAAGAAACCAAAAATGAGCTCTGTGTATACCAAAAAGAAAACAGCTAAATAAAAGAACCATTAACCAAACCACTAGGTTCCAGACGATACTGCCTACTAAGTTAGACTACCTATTCTGATGTAGGAACCAAAAAGCCGTAATACCAGATTAACAAAAAGTTGGTATTTAATCCTAGGCTGTTGGAATTTGCTTTTTACCAATTCTGTCTTTATCCCTTGAAATGAGTATGAACAGTGGTTTCTAGGAGTAGGTATGACTCTGGACAAGACTGAAATGTCTGAGGCACTTGGACACTCATTCCAGAGACAACTACTAGAATTAAATCCAAAACTGCATGACTCTGGATACTGGAAAGAAGGAAGCAGTAGAAAGACGGTGGGCACTCTAACCGCATGCTGTACATGTGCTTTCCTGCCCACCAATAGAATTTTCCAACCCATTGCAATTTAGTTAACCACATCTCTCTACTCTCCAGTCTGAGGTATCACCCCAATCAAAACTCACATCACACCTCAAAGAGATCATTTCAAGTTCCTACTGATGCAATAACATTCTAAGTGGTGTATTATTAAAAAAAAATAAGAAAAAGTATCCATCCAACTGAAGTCTTACTTCAAACTACATGCCACAATAAAGAAACAACACTTACTTATACAAATGAAATCTTCCCAAATATCAGCCTGAGTTGCCTGAGGAAAATGCCATAAAAATGAAGCTTAAAAAAAAAAAAGGCAATGAAAACTTTGAGAAATGAAACTAGGGTCCATTGAAGATTTTGATCTAAAAACTACATAGAAAATATAGAAAGTACTAGATGGGAAAAGTAGTGAATGTAGGTTAAACAACATGAAATCCAAAAGATGTAAGTGTCCAAGAGGAACATTTTTAGTACCTTTCAAGGGTCTAAAATTGAATAGCCTTTTAAAATTAGAGTTGGGCGTATAACTGTCAGGAAAACGAACAGTCACCGTGTAGAAATAAATCTCATATGGATCCAGTTTTGGTCATAGTTGTTTATATCTTTTAAAATATCTCAATGAGGTTTTAGATGTATTTAACTTATTAAACACCCGTTTTTAAAAAAACAAACATATAAGCCTAGTTGCAAACTGTATTATACACTATCTTCACAAAAAATAATGTGGTGAATTACAACAGAATCATAACGCAGAAGTAGCAGCTTACATTAAAAACTAAGAAAACTCACAAGGGATGAAAAAGTATGAGAAGTTTAACAGTCTGAGGAAAGCAAGAAGATAAGGTCAAATTCATTATCCCTTCTCTTTTATAAAACCCTTAACCTATCAATTCTTACCACCAGTGAGAAGCCAGCAGGGCAGGAAATGGTACTAAATTCAAGGGTCCATGACAGAACTGGAGATACTGACTAACCGAAAAACTGCTAGAAAACTGTATATAAAAAATTTGGTTTCTATAGTAAACAGTAAAATAAAAGTTTCACATTAAGATTTAGCTTTAAGAGATTACATCAGTTTGCTTATACACATACAAACTTAAAGAAACAAAGACAAGCTACTGTTAAAGGACTTCATTAGGTCTAAGCATAAAGTAATTTTCCATCACAACTGAAATTTTCCATCTCCTTCAAACATAACTGAAAAAAAAAGTAAAAAAACTTTTCACTAAGTAAATTCTTAGTGAAAAGAATATAAAGGCTAAATCAAGTGGCATTCTTTTGCCAAAACTTTGAAAAACATTGATTCAAGTTTATCATTCTAAATATATATTATCTCAATGTCCCTTCTGTTTCGATGATGGGCTTCTAAAAAGTGGAGGGAGTGAAGAAATGACTTAAAATCCTCATAATTCTGGAGGCTTGGCCTTTCTTTTATATATACAAAACTACAAGGGTGACATCCTTAATTGAAATGAGAAAAAAAAAACTGTAAACATTGCTTTTATACTGTCACTTGAGGTACTGTTTAGCTAAGGAATCAAAACACTTAAGCAAATACAATTTTTTTGTAAAAATGACTTGATTCAACTTTAGGGTTATAGTTGTCAAAGAAAACCTAAAAGCATGCATTTTTGATATATTAAAACATTCACACCTCAATGTGACTTTGTGACCTTTAGTTACATTACCTGATCTGTGATTGTAAAGGTGCTATTAATATTTTATAGTAATACAAAAAAGAAAAAAAAAAAAAAAGCTGGTATATCAAAATGCAAGCAGTTTCGTACACAGGACAACGGGTATTTGGTTTAGGTGTGGCATTAAAGCACATTACAGGGCCTCCCCGGTGGCGCAGCGGTTGAGCGCTGGGTTGCGAAGCTGCCCGCAGCCTCTGCTGTGCGGGTTCGATCCCCAGCTGCTCCCCGGCCACCGGAGGAGGGTCCCACATGGCGTGCAGACCTCTCCTGCCGCCCGCTGCTCCCCTCAGCAGTGTACTTCGGTCCTTCTGCCTGCTCTGCTCCCCGCTCTGGCTCTGGTGAATTCTCTCGCCCTCCCGCGCTTCTGACTGTACCCAGTGCATGTATAAACAAAACAAACAAACAAACAAATAAATAAATAAATAAATAAATAACATGCCTCTATAAAAAAAAAAAAAAAAAAAAAATGTGTTAAAGCACATTACAACTCTTCCCTAAGCCAAATATCCTTGTTCTTCCTGTAGGTCTAAAATTTCTCCCCTAAAAAATAAGGACCACCACACAGACATAGTTAACAGTGTTTCCCTGCTAATAACAATTCATAGGATGAGTGATCAACAAGATCATTCTAAAACTGAGAGAAAGGGGCTTTATAAATTTTTCAAAGGATCCCTAAAATCAAAAAATAAATATAATAATGGGATAGAAACACAGGTCTCTATATTCCCATTTAAGCAGGATTTTAATACTGTTTTTGAAGACAGTACATGCTGTCAAAAAAAATAGAACTAGAACTTTTAGAGCATTGTACCAAATGCTGTTAAGTATCAAGAGGTATGAAGACACCATCCCTCTTCCACCAACTTAGTCTACAAATATATAACACAAAGTAAATTTATAAGACCCTGAGGATCACATGCAAAGAAAAAGATTGGAAGCAGTAGCCTGAGACTTCCAGGAAAAGTTACTCATTTGTTAGCACATTGGAACTCTGCTGTCATTATCACAGGACAGCCACTGCCACCAGTGTCAAACTGCAGTTGTGGTTCACTGTCATCACAGCCCTATCCCATGGTAGTAATTTAAAATAATTTTCAGGTGTTAACTTTACATTATTTAACTGGATCATTATAAGGGGTCACCAACAAGAGAAAAACCTGTAAAACTTGCAAAGGTACTTAGCTCCAACTCATTTTTCATAAATTTAACCCTTTGGACCAGCTGGCTTTCACCTTGTTAGGGTGTTCAAAAAGTACACTCTATGTTTACATGGTTTACAAAGAAAAATACTTTTTTTCTAACAGATTGCAGGGCCTCAATTTCCTACAATTCTAACTCAGTGGGGCTGAGGACCCCAGCATTGAAGGAGCCCCGGGCAACACCAAGGCAAGCAGCACAGGACTATATGGGAAAACCCTTCC